AACACTATGCAGTCTTTGCAATGAACTCACTTCAAATGCAATTATATAGGTAAGCTAAAAATTAAAACATGGCAATAGATGTGCCATAAAAACATTACACTCATAAGCAGAAGTAATTACATTAATAAGTTTAAGACCAAGAAACTACTTAACACAAAGACATTACATAATGATAATGGGGTTAATTCATCAGGAAGACACAATAATTCTAAACATAAAAACACAAGCCAAAGAGATTCAAAAGACTACTCTTCAAAAGAATAACCCCTCAGTGTAGTCAGGAGTAAGTGCTGAGTATCACTGGGCGTGGCCCAAAAACAAACAAACAAAATGAACTTTAGTAACTGAAGATAAAAACACACCAGAATTTGTGATTGAGAGGAAAAGAGTACTGAGGGAAAAATCAATGATGCTAAATACATATCTTAAAAAGAGAAAATCTACCAAATCAATAATTAAGACTTAATTTCATCCTTGATTTTATTTATTGCTATCCATTTTTGAGTCATTTATTTTATTTTATTTTATTTTATTGCTTTTTTTGGGTCACACCTGACGAGGCACAAGGGTTACTCTTGGCTCTGCACTGAGGAGTTACTCCTGGCGGTGCTCAGGAGACCATATGGGATGCTGGGAATCAAACCCGGGTCGACCGTCTGCAAGGCAAACGCCCTACCCACTGAGCTATCTCTCCAGCCCTGAGTCAAACTTTGTATTAAGGTCGATGTAGAATTAGCAATTGTAGGAAAAATAAATCTAACTGATCATAAAGCAAATAAAAAAGTGGAGTGAATAAAGGAAATTCTACAACTAACAATTTGTAAACAACAGTGCCTAAAATAAAATAAAATAAACATAGTCACATTCTGAGAAAAAGAAAACTAGTTGCATAAAACAATTCTAATAAAACTTATAGACCATATATTAGACTGAACACAAACTACCAAAATTTAATTAAGATAAAATATCAAAAGTAGTTCTATCACTATTAAATAAATTGAATTTGTAATAGAAAACATCTCATAAAATAATCTCTGGCCCAAACACTTCATTAAGAAAATTTTATCAAATCTCAAAAATTAACACCACCCTAACACAATATTCTAGAAAATACAAGAGGGAATACTTAAAATTTTAATGTATTATTTATTACAACTAAGATTAAATGTGAACTGTCTCATAATTAAAAGTTGGTTTTAAAATAGAATAACAATAAAGCAGATTTGGGGGTGAAATTTTAGAGTAGCACTGTAGCATTGTCCTCCCATTGTTCATGGATTTGCTCGAGCAGGACCAGTAACGTCTCCATCCTGAGATGAGAACGTCTCCATTTTGAGACTTGTTGTTACTGTGTTTGGCATATTGAATACATGACAGGTAGCTTGCCAGGCTTTGCCTGCGGGAGAGATACTCTCGATAGCTTGCGGGCTCTTGGAGAGGAATCAGACCTGGCTTGGCCAGGCACGCAAGGCAAACGTACAACAAATGTATCATAGAAATGAAAAAATGTTCTGATATAAATTATCCAGTTTAAGAAATTAGAAAGGTCAAATTAAATGGGAAAGCAAAACAGAATAAGATTTTAAAAGATCAAGACATATATTAGTGAATTATAGTATTAGGAAAACATACAGGAAAGTTTAATCACTTAATCACTTAACTTCCCGTTAATTGTCGATTTGCTCGAGCGGCGCCAGTAATGTCTCCATTTGTCCCTGTCGTGTGCTAGTGAAGCCCAATGGCGTCTGTTCGCTCTAGGAACATGAAGAGCCTCAAACCGATCGTTCATGATATTGATGAAGAAGTCTGACCATCTGGTAGGTGGGTGGCCACACGGTCTTTTGACATCCCGTGGAATCCAGTTGGTAACGGCTCTAGTCCAGGGTCATCTCTCAATCTCATTACGCGACCAGCCTATCTAATTTTTGACACCTTGGCAAACGAGACAGTGTCCCTGATTCTTGATCGTCGACAGATGTCGGAACTCCAAATTCTTTCTCTCATTAGAGTGAAACGTGATATTCCAAGCATAGCTCTTTCTATTCTTCTTTGGGAGACCTGAATAGCGTTCTCATCCTGTTTGCATAGGGCCCAGGTCTCTGAGGCATATGTTAATGCAGGAAGAAGTGGAATCAAAGAGATGTGCCCAGAACCAGAGGTTCTTCGTCCTCTTAGCTATTTCTTCAACGCTCTTGAAGGCGTTCCAAGCCACTCTCTTCCTCATGCGCAGCTTGGGTGCCAGGTCATTTGTCATGTTGACTTCTCGACCTAGGTACACAGAGCTGTTGCATTCAGAGATGGTCGTTCCATTGAGAGTGAATGGGGCGTCAGGAACGAGGCTGTTTCTCATAAACATTGTCTTCATAAGATTCAGCTGTAGTCCTACCTTTCCACACTCACGGTCAAAGTCGGCCAGCATTTGTGCTGCTTGGCTGATGCTTGGTGTTATTAGAACAATGTCATCAGCAAAGCGAAGGTGCTGTAGTTGCCGACCATCTATCTTCACTCCCATTCCTTCCCATTCCAGTCGTCGCATGATGTTCTCGAGGGTGGCACTGAAGAGTTTCGGTGAAGTGGTATCACCCTGGCGAACCCCTCTCTTGACATCAATGATCACTTCTTTGTAGAATGGTGAGATCCTGGTAGTGAATCCGCAATACAGCTCACGGAGGATCCTGATGTATTGGGCTTGAATGCCCTGATTGGCTAGGGTTTCAATGACCGCTTCCATCTCAACAGAATCAAAGGCCTTCTTTAAATCAATGAACGTTAAACAGAGCGGCATCTTGAACTCCTGAGAAACCTCAATGAGCTTGGTTATCGTGTGGATATGGTCGATGGTGCTGAATCCTTTGCAGAACCCTGCTTGCTCGCATGGTTGTCCTTCATCTAGTGTTCTGCCAATCCTCTTTAGGATGACTCGGGTGAACAACTTGTAGATGACAGACGCTAGGCAGATCGGGCGATAGTTGCCAATGTCACAGATGTCTCCCTTCTTGAACAGTAGTATGGTCCCGCTGGTTTTCCACTGGGACGGAACCTTGCATTCAGACAGGTAGCATGTGAAGAGCCGAGCCAGTCTATTGATGAGTACTGATGGCAGATTCTTCAGGTGTTCAGGTCTGACCTTGTCTGGGCTGGGTGCTGTTCGTTTCTTTACTGATGAAATGGCGTGTCAGATTTCGGAAGGGAGAATGTTGGGAACGACATATCCATCCTGTGGAATTTGGTATGTCGGCAAGTGGACATGGCTATTGAAGAGATTTGAGTAGAAGTCATGGATAATCTTCTCCATTGCCCTTCTGGAGGATGTGATAGATCCATCAGGACATCGAAGGGCAGTCATCTTGGTCTTATAGTTGCCGAAGGACAGGCAGGCGTTACGAATACTTTTCCCGGCTTCTGCCGCTTCTACCAGTACTTCTGGTCTTCTCTCTTTGAGGTCTTCCTTGATCGCATCTCTGCATTGCTTTGCGAGCTCGGACGTTAGCTTGCAGTTGCCTGAGGCACACGCCAAACCACTTTGGCGAATCGAATAAGCTCAAGAGTTTTCGAAGACAGGTGTTTATTTATGGCTATCTCTCTCTTGGCATTCCTCGCACACTCATGGAGGTGCTGAATGAGTCGATCATATTCTTTGTCAATGTTGTCAACAATGGCATCTTCCCATGTTGCTGCAATAGTGCCAAAGAGCTCCCAGTTGTTGGTCTTTCTGGGAGTTCTCTTTTTGAACTTTGCAGCCCTTTCTCCCCGCTCTGTGAAGTAGAATTTTGCACGAAGGAGATGGTGGTTCAATCCTGTTCGGAATTTTGGGACAACAGCGACATCAGTCAGACAAAACCGTCGATTGAATATGATGTGGTCTATTTCATTGTGGAATCGTCCACCGGGAGACTCCCATGTCCAACATTTAGATTCTGCCTTCTGGAACTGTGAGTTACCATGGATGGTCTTGGTCGACATGATGAACTCAGACAGTTCATCATGAACTCGGTGAACTCGACACTACCTCTCCAAGAGCCCGGCAAGCTACCAAGAGTATCTCTCCCGCAGGCAAAGCCTGGCAAGCTACCTGTCATGTATTCAATATGCCAAACACAGTAACAACAAGTCTCAATATGGAGACTTCTCATCTCAGGATGGAGACGTTACTCAGCCTGCTCAAGCAAATCGATGAACAACGAGAGGACAATGCTACAGTGCTACTCTAATATTTCTCCCCCAAATCTGCTTTATTGATATCCTATTTTAAAACAAATTTTTAATTATGAGACAGTTCACATTTAATCTTAGTTGTAATAAATAATACATCAAAATTTTAAGTATTCCCTCTTGTATTTTGAATATTGTGTTAGGGTGGTGTTAATTTTTGATATTTGATAAAAATTTTCTTAATGAAGTGTGTTTGGCATATTGAATACATCACAGGTAGCTTGCCAGGCGTTGCCTGTGGGTGAGACACTCTCCGTAGCTTGCCGGGCTCTTGGAGAGGAATCAGACCCGGCTGGCCAGGCCAGCTGCATATAAGGCAAATGTACAACAAACGTATCTTAGAAATAAAAAACTGTTCTCATATAAATTATCCAGTTTAAGAAATTAGAAAGGTCAAAATAAATGGGAAAACAAAACAGAATAAGATTTTAAAGGATTTTAAAAGTTCAAGACACATATTCGTGAATTATAATATCAGGAAAACATACAGGAAAGCAATGAAATTTTAAAAAATTTAGAAATAAACACAATTGGTAAAGTAACTGAACTAATCACAAAAAAGAGAGCACACAAATTACCAATATCAGAAATTAAATTTTAAAAAAGAATACTTATTCTAAAGACCTGAAAAATGTTTTAAAAATCGATCTTGTGGGTTTTTACAATTCTTATTTACTTATAAAGAAAATGGTACATGTTGCTTTGTCATAATCATTTGTTTATTTGCATATTTAAGGATAGGTAATTAGTATTAATAATTCAAATAATGAACCAAAAATTAAGGATACATTCGTATAGCACCTGTTCTCGTCCCAATAGCCAAGATTTTCTGAACTGGGTCAAAAGCCAGTGCTGTGGGCTGATAAGGAAAACCATGTCGAACTGTCTGAAAAAGAGAAAATAATAAAAAATACTCATCAAGAAAATAAAATTTTAAATCACAAGATACAACTACCCAACCACCTAAGTGACTAAAATGCTGGAAAAAATACTATCAAGAGTTAGTAAGGTAAAAAATGACATAAACCCCTTGGAAAAATCTTACTTTTTTTGTAAAACTATGTATACCTAACCCTGAAAGAGCCTTGAATATGGCACATTTAAAAAAATCTCAGGTCTAGGACAAAGGAGACGTTATTGGGGCCTGCTCGAGGCAATCGACGAACAACAGGATGGTCGTGATTGTGGTCATGATGTATACCTGTTTTATGGTCCAGAAATTCAACTCTTATGTATATACCCAGGAAAATTAAGTGTATTTGTTATACAAATAATTCGTACAAGGATGCTCTAATAGCTTTATGAATAAAAACCTAGAAATTACCCATGTGTTCAAGAAAAGGAAAATCAAAAAGCAAATCTGTGGAATAATTTATCTCATACAACAGAAGACTATCCAAATATTAGAAAAATCACAAAGGTAACAATATGTATAATTCTCTAAATAGTATGATCTTTCAAGCAAAACCAAAAGAGTGCTTATAGTATGATTGCATTGATATAAAATTATGAATAAGCAAAACTAACCATATACGTAAAAAACATAACCAGAAAAGTAATGAGGAAAAATGACAGACAAGGGGTATTTTAATTTATTAAATGGATATAACATTCTATATATTTTTGCTATGTATACATATATATAAAGAATTTTAACAGAGCTAATTATTTTCCTTTTATTCAGACATTTTTGTACTTGTTTATAACAGTTAATTTTCCTGGCATATAATGTTCCCACCTCCACACTCCATATCCCCATCCCTTCACCACTTACTCCAGATTCCCTCTCATCCCCCAACTTGTCATTTGTTAAATATTTAAGTTTAATTGTTATAGTTTGAGTGCCATGCTTGTAGTGTTGGACATTTTGGATTATATATACCAATACTTTGTCTCTACACCATCTAGGGACCCTGGTCCCTGAGTTACTTTTCCCTGAGTAACTATCACACCTCCTCTTTTTGTTTACCCTTCCATTTCTCTCTTTCCTTAACATCTTTTTTTCTGAATTATTTGCTACCTACCATTCCCTAGTTATATTATTCTATAAATAACAGAGTAGTGAAAACATCTGGTATTTGATCTTATCCTTCTAACTGATTTCATTTAACAAAGATCTTTCAGTTTCACCCATATAAGTGTATATTGCATTACTTCATCATTCCTTGGAGCTGAGTAGTATTCTATTGTGTGTATATACCGTAGCTTCATTATCCATTTTTCTATTACTGGGCACCTTGTTTCCATAAACTGGCTATTGTACTAAATTGCTGCAATGAATACAGATGTACACATATCTTTTTGAAAGGTTGTTTTTGCATACTGTGAGTAGTGGTATTGATGGGTCATAGGCTAGCTCTATTTTTAGTATTTTGAGGAATCTCATAATGTTTTACATAAGGACTACAGTAGACAACGTTTCCACCAGCAGTGCATGAAATTTTCTTTTGCATCATATCCCTGCCAGGACAAGTAGTTCCTATCCTCTCTGATATATGTCATTCTCACTGTTGTGAGGTGATGTTTTGTTGTCTTAACTTGGGTATTCATGATAGTGATAATGACAGTTTCTATATGTCTACAAATCATGTCTTCTTATGAGAAATTTTTGCTCATTTTCTCTCCCCATTTTTTAATGTGATTATAAAGATTTATTGATGTTGATCTCTGTTACTGTTTGTATATCTTGGATATGAATCCTTTATCTGATGTAAGTCAATCATTGTAACATATCATATTAATAAAAGGAAATATAAGTCATGATTATAAATCAACATAGAGGAAGCTTTTGACAAAATCCAACACCAAATGATGCTTTAAAAAATAACCCTCAACAAGAAAGGGAGAAAAGGAAATTTCCTCAAGATAATAACAGCCATTTACAAGAAATCCACAATTGCTATAATACTAAATGGGTAAAAGCTAAAATTCTTCTCTCTGAGATGAAAGTACAAAACAAGGAGTGCACTTTTCCCACTTTCAGCCAATATTTGACTAGGAGTCATAGTGGCAGCAATTAGGCAATGAAAAGAAATCAAAGTGTTTCAACTAAGAAAAGAAACCAAACAATCACTAATTGTAAATAAAATGATAAAATATGTGAAGCAATTCCTTTTTTAAAAAAATGTTATCTATTGAATCACCATGAGAACAGTTACGAAGTTTTCAGATTTAAGTCTCGGGCACACAATGATCAAACACCCATCCCTTCAACAGTTAATATTTTCCACCACCAAGAACCCCAATATACCCCCCAGCCCACCTCTCCCCATGGCTGTGAAGCAGATGATTTCCACTTAACTCTCTCTCTACTTTCACTACATTCATTATTTCAACAAAAGATGCACCATTATTTTTTGGAATTTTACCCCAACAATCAGACCTGCTGAAAAGGCATCGTGAAATAACTTGTTTCCTATTGATGGTTATGAAGACCATATGATGTCGCGCGGCCGCAATAGTGGTGAGAAGGTGTAATGGTGGTTGGATTGGAGTTAGAATATTAAATGTAATAAAATATTGTGAACTACTTTATAAAAATTAAATTAAATTTTAAAAAGAAATACCTTAAGAATTCCATTAAAAATGTTAATTTTATCTATTTATTTACTTGTGTTTTGGGATCACATCTGGCGATGCTCACAGTTATTCCTGGCGGTGCTCGAGGGACAATATGGAATGCTAGGGATTGAACCTAGTTTGGGTGTGTGAAAGGCAAATGCCCTACCCATTGTACTATCACTTCAACCCCACTAAAAACTTTTAGAAACAATAAACCAGTACAACAAAATAGCAGGCTACAAAATCATACACAAAACTCAGTTAAATTTCTTTTTTTTTCCAACCAGCATATCTGTTTTATTTTTTAATTCATTTTTTATTAGTGAATCACCAAGAGGTACAGTTATAAACTTATGAACTTTCGTGTTTGTATTTCAGTCATTCAATGATCGGTTACCCATCCCTCCACTGGGCCAGCCATTTTGGAAAATAGTATGGATGATTCTCAAAAAATTAGAAATTGAGCTCCCATTTTACCCAGCAATACCACTCCTGGAAATATATCCTGGAGAGGGGAAAAAAGTATAGTAGAAATGACATCTGCACTTATATGTTCATTGCAGCACAGTTTACAATAGCCAAAATCTGGGGGAAAACCCAAGTGCCCAAGAACAGATGACTCATTAAAGAAACTTTTGTCATCTACACAGTGGAATACTATGCAGCTGTTAGAAAAGATGAAGTCATGAAATTTGCATATAAGTAGATCAACATGGAAAGTATCATGTTAAGTCAAATCAGAAAGTTAAGTTAGTCAGAAAGAGAGGTACAGACAAGATTGCACTCATCTGTGGAATGTAAAGTAACAGAATGGGAGACTAACACCAAAGAATAATAGAGATAAGGACCAGGAGGTCTGCTCCACAGCTTGGAAACTGGCCTCACATGCTGGGGGGAAAGGCAGCTCAGATAGAAAAGAGAATACCAAGTAAAGGATGTTGGGAGGGCTCGATCGAGTTGAAAGATGTGTGCCGAAAGTAGACTGTGGACCGAATGATGGCCACTCAATATTGCAAACCACGACACCCAAAAGAAGAGAGAACAAAAGGGAATGCCCTGCTGTAGAGGCAGGGTGGGGTGATGGGGGATAGGATGGGGGTGGTGGGAGGGATACTGGGCACAGGTGGAGGGATCAGTTGCATTTCTATATGCAAACAGTGATCTAGAAGAGAAAGATACCAAAGAGACTACCCCATTCAAAATAGTGCCTAAAAATAAGTACCTAGGAATCAACAAAAGAGGTGAAAGAACTTTACCTGAAAAAAATACAAGTCACTTAACAAAGAGATAGAAAAGAACCTCAGAAAATGAAAAAAAATATTCCATTTCATTAAGTGGAAGAAGTTATATTCTCAATATGACCATCTAAATTATTATATATTCAAAATCAAAATCCTGATGACATTCTTCAAAGATTTAGAATGGCCACTGGTAAAAATTTGTATGGAACTATAAAACACCCCAAATACATAAATCCATTTTGAGAAATAATGAAATTTAAGGCACTGTGTTTCAAAACTTGAAAGTATACTATAAAGCTATAGAAATGGGGAAAAAATAATAGTAGAAGAAGGATGGACCCAGATCAATGGATTAGAGGTGAATACCCAATGATAGATCCTCATCTAAATAATTGAATGATTTAAAACAAAGATCCACTCTTGGATGAAGTAAAGACAGTCTCTTCAAAAAAATGGTGTTGGAAAAACGGAATAGTGACATGAAAAAAAATAAAAAAGAAAATAAAGAAATTGGATTGTTTCAAATTGGGATTGTATCAAATCAAAGTTTCTTTGTAGCAAAAGAAACACTAAAGTTAAAGGGTAATCTGCTAATCAGAAGAAAATATTTTCACACAACATGTCAGAAAAAGGATTAATAAATTTTGATAGAGATTTTGATTATACAAGTATATGTATTAGCTAAAGCTCATTTAAAAAATTATTAGAGAAACTCCATGAGGTACAGTTTTGTGGACTTATAAATTTTTGTGCTTGGGTTTCAGTTACACAATGATCACATACCATTCCTCCACCAGTGCCCATTCTCCACCACCAGTGATCCCAGTATCCCTCCTACCACCCCCCTCACCTCTGTGGCAGGGCATTCCCTTTTGTTCTCTCTCTCCTTTTGGATGCTGAGGTTTGCAAAAGAGGCATTAAGTGGCAATCAAGTTTGGTCTATAGTCTACTTTCAGCATGCATCTCCCATCCTGGGAGGATCTTCCCAACACCCTTTACTTGGTGTTCGCTTCTCTATTTGAGCTGTCTTTTTCTGCCAGTATGTGTGGCTGGCCTCCAAACCATGGAGGAAACCTCCTGGTAC